CTTGCCTTGGGTTTGCCTGTGGAGCCACTGGTGTACAGGATGAAGAGTGGATCCTCGGCATCACACCACTCGGGCTCACACTCATCCCCTGCCTCTTGCATGAGCTCATGCCACCACAAGTCAATCCCTTGGTTCCATGAGATCTGCAGAGATGGGCAGGGAAGAACTGTGAACAGCTCAAGATGGGGACAAGATACACCCATATGTTGCCTCTGGAGGGAATGAGGTGGGACGGGAAGGTAGGAGTACAGGAAGGGAGAGAAGGCCCTTCAAGGGTGGAATGGAACAGAAAGAACAGGAGCAGAACCTAAGCTTACTGAGTACTCCAACCACCCTGCCATCCTACCCCGATCTCTACCCCAGAACTCCTCTCACCTGGCCTCAGGCCAAGGAGGAACACTTGGCTGGTCCCTTCCCATCCTTCAATTCTCAGCTTTCTTCTTTCCAAGAAGTCAGCTTCTTGGAAAGGCTTTACCTGAACAGTATCTGATAGATTCCCACCTCCAACCTTGCTATTATTATTGATCCCAACACCATGTTTCTTTCCCACACAGTACATATTTCCTGTTATTTTATTTAGTTGTTTACTTGATTACTGTCTTCCCATCTAGATAGTGACATCTATGAAGAAAGTGAAACATCTTTTCTCCCGACCCCTGCCGTATCTCCTAACACCTAGCAAAGTGCCTGGCACTCAGTCAATTTTTGTTGGACAAATGACTATGCACACACAGGTCTACATACATACATATGTACTTATGGGACTAGGCTCATTAGCAGGGATGCGGACACCACACAATTCAGAAATGCAAAATTAGTCAGAGCCTACAGGTGAGGTGGGCACCTGACCCTGTTAGCAGTAAAATAAATCAACAGATCTTGGTCCAAGCACTTTTCCCTGCATGTCCAGACCCAATCCACATCTATGGGTTTCCTACCCTAGCTCTGCTCCTGCGTTTACACCACTGGTACCAATAGGGTTTCCCATAGAGACTTTGGCTTGAGGGGACAGGTTCCATTCAGCAGGAAGCTTTGCTTTAAGTTGGTGGAGAAGGACCAAGGTAGACTTCTCTCAGTAGAAGGATGTCCCCTATGCCTTTGATAATTACTTCTGGATCTGTCATCCTGAAACTTCTCTAAATTCTCCTTTGAAACTGTTTTACTTTTCTGTCTATATCACCTCTTTGAACACCAATTTTGAATCTACCATCTGCTGAATGAAGTTAGATCCCTTGAATTTGTCCAAAGTCTTCAGTGAACTTCAATACCAGTTCTGCCACTTCCTAGCTATATGACCTTGGGCAAGTCACTTTACCTTAAGTCTCTCCTTTTAAAAATGAGGACAGTCATTCTTGCCCTAATGGACTCACAGGATGTGGTAAACACTAAAAGAGAAAAGTATTATCTAGTAAACATCAAGCCTTGGATTGCCCCAAGGGTAGAGGTTGGGGTGGGATGAGGAAGACTGAGGAATGTCAGGAGAGATAGAGGTTAGTTCAATGACTACTGGGAGTTAAGAGTGTGAGGCTGGGCGCAGTGGCTTATGGCTGTAATCCCAGCACTTTGGAAGCCCAAAGTGGGTAGATCACCTGAGATCAGGAGTTCAAGACCGGCCTGGCCAACATGGTGAAACCTGGTCTCTACTAAAAATACAAAAAGTAGCCAGGCGTGGTGGCAGGCGCCTGTAATCTCAGCTACTCAGGAGGGTGAGGCAGGAGAATCACTTGAAACCAGGAGGCAGAGGTTGCAGTGAGCTGAGATCGCACCACTGTACTCTAGCCTGAGCAACAGAGTGAGACTCCGTCTCAAAAAAACAAAAATAAAAATAAAAACAAAAACAGAAACAAAAAAAACAACATAACTCAAGAGTGTGATGATGGGAACTGTTTGGGGTTTGCTTTAGCTGTCACAAAGTCCTTTCATATTTATTAGATTCTTGTATGTTCAATGGCCCTCGCTGGCAGGTAGACATGGTGGTGTAAGATAAATGCCATTCTCCCATTGTGAGGATATATGCTAATTTGTTGTGTGCATATTTGGTTAAAAAAAACCCTGGAGTGTTAGATATATAGCTTGATAAATTAGAAAATGACTCTCTAATCACTCCCTTCTTTCTGTACCACCTGCCCCTTATGGTAGAGAATTTGAAATTTCTGGATTTTGAACATCATAAAAACAACAAGCTTAGAAAAAGGAAGAAGAGAGAGAAAGCTGCCCACAGTTAGAAAACATAAGAACACGCCTGGCCAGGAGCAGTGACTCAAGCCTGTAATCCCAGCACTTTGGGAGGCCGAGACGGGCGGATCACGAGGTTGGGAGATTGAGACCATCCTGGCTAACACGATGAAACCCTGTCTCTACTAAAAAATACAAAAAACCAGCCGGGTGAGGTGGCGGGCACCTGTAGTCCCAGCTACTCGGGAGGCTGAGGCAGGAGAATGGCGTGAACCCAGGAGGCGGAGCTTGCAGTGAGCTGAGATCCGGCCACTGCACTGCAGCCTGGGTGACTGAGCAAGACTCCGTCTCAAAAAAAAAAAAAAAAAGAACACGCCTGATTTTGTCTATCCATATGCATCTACACATACACTGTCACATGGGTACTTTTTCTTCTGCCAAATGATCACTTGAGATGGGGGCACTAAAGTATTCAACCAGAAGTATCAATACTGCTTTGGACAAATAGTGCTGGTCTACAGCACTGTGAACTGTCGCAGAACAGGCACTAAGTACATGTAAGGACAAGGCATAGTTACAACTGTGGCTCTGCAATGAGGGCACTCTTATAATCTTATAATATTATTTCTTTTGTGGGTGGGTGTGTATACAGAGGTAGATGGGTTAGAGTACTCCAGGTGTGGAACTGATAACTAGCACCAGGAAGCAGAGTGAACTCAATTAGTAGAGCAAACTTTGGTTGTGAATTAGGTGTGTGCCTATGAGGCCCCAGGCTCTGAACCAGGAAATGGTCTGAATTTTCTAAAATAAGAATTGAGGAGTTGGCCTTTGTCCTTGGACCAGGATAGCCTCAAGGAGGGCAGCTGCCATGTATGGGAGAGGTATATGAGGGAGCTCATAGACCATATGGTTGAGGAGGGTCCCTGCAAACCCCACCAGGCTCTCCCTGGAAGATTGTTTAAGGATAAAGGGGTTTGGAGCCCTGCCAGGATTTTTGCAGCTCTTTTGAAAATTATTTAAAAAATTTTAAATATGGGGCCCATTGTCAGAAAGATTTTTGCAGCTTTGACTGCAGTTCCCAGACCAACAAACCTGGACTTTTTAAGCCTATTTTTATGCTCTTTGGTATTTTGGAAACTGGTTGTTTTCACCTCCAAGAAACAAATATCCAGTAGCCTTTGGCCTGAAGGTCTCTGGTATTAAGAATTATAAGAGTTTGTTATTCTTTTCTGGTCTCTCTTTTGGAAATGCCAATCTGTCTGTTGCATTAAGGGGAAGAAAGCAAAAAACAGCTGACATTTACTGAGTAGTTACTAAGTGCAAAACACCTTACATATATTGACAAAACCCTATAAGATAGGTACAATTATTATCCTTATCTTATGGATGGAGAAACAAACGAGAGAGTTTAAGTACACAGTAGCAGGTGGCAGAACAGGATTTGAACCCAAGTAATCTGGCTCCAGAGATTACAATTTAAGCCACTAAATTTGTCACCTCTTTCAAAAGAAAGGGTGTAGGTCCTGCCTGAGTTTTAAAAGGAAAGCAGTATCCCCTAGGAATCAGATCTATCTTCACCATGCTAATGAGAATAGAGAAAAGGGGCTTGTATCTACCATTGGCCTAAGAGGTTAATCATAGCAGATTTAGAGTAAGACACCCTGTGAAGATGGTAAAACCCAGAGGAATAGTGAGCTTTATGTGTTGTTTTAGGAAGGGAAGCTGTTTCCTTTCATAGCACGTGTTATCATCTCTCCATTACTGACAAGGAAACTGAATCCCAGAGGGGAGAATTGACTTACTCAAGGTCATACAGCTAAAAATTAGTCTCTGGACTTCAGGCCCACTCTCTCCTCGATACTAATCTGCTTTGAGCATCCCCTTATGGATCTCCCTTCTTAGAACCACCTACAATGTGACTTTTGTCCACTTTAGCACTTAGTCACATTACAAAGTTATATGCAGTTTGTAAATCCCAAAGTACTATGTAAATGTATTTAGGAATCTTCTCTGCTGTTCTGTATAAAACTTAGGTTTTCCTTTGTATTAAAAATACATGTATAACTCCCCAACTTGATGGTGAATTTCCAAAGTCAGGGTTTGAACCTCCTCCAACTACTCCTCCTCCTGTCTCTCTTGGCTCTGCTCCAGCTACCTGCACACTAAATATTTTCTGACAGGTTACCTTGTCCCCTCTCCCACAAAGGTCCTGAGCAGCAAGATAAAATGGGTTCTGCTGTTACCTCTCTAAGAGCCATGCTCTATACCAATTCACAGAGGCAGTAACAGACATTTAATTTCACCACCCTTCAGTGGCTTACATGGCAAGCTGCCCGGGGCAAGGGGAAGGGGGTTAGGTCTGGCAGCCACCTCAATGGGGCAAACAGGCAAAGGGCAGATGAGCACACAGACAAGCACACAGGGAAGCGGTGCCCACAGCAGTGCAGAAATGGATACCTGGGGCTGAACACGCTTGGATTTCTCTTTCAGCTTACCCTGTTAAGAGCCCAGGATGAAAAGGGTAGTGAGGAGGGTCCAAGTACACAGGGAGTGGGAAGAAAGGGTCAGTGTGTTGTAAACCCCAAACTCCTTTCTCACTGGTCCTCCCAGCTTCCATTTTCCTGATCCTGATTCCAGCCCCTATATATGTAAAACCCGTAACACTGATTGGGCTTTCCAACTTCCCTAAACTAGACTATAGCCTCTCTAGCCCCAAGATCCCTCAGGGAGCCTCAAGTCACAGACTCTCATTCAACCCCAGAACTTTGATCCCTCATGCTCCTCAGCCTGGAGGCCATCACTGGGCATTTCTACCATTCCCACCCGAAGCCCAGGGCTCCAAAGTTAACAAGGGCCATATTGTGAGGGCTGGACTCTGGTCCTTCCATGGTGGGCATCCCTTAGGCCGCAAAGGTAACCCACCCCACATCACAGCCCAGTAATGGAGATGACTATATAGTGTCACTCAAGTTAGACATTTCTAACACAAACCTAGGCCCTGAGGATCCCCTGTGCCCACAAGCATACCCCAACCAGCATAGGAGTCTCCCTTACAATCGCTTGTGCTGTTCTCAAGGTATAAGGGCCTCTCTACCCACAATCAAGGTCAAAGTCTTCTAGCTCCCACCTAGCCCTGCTAGAGGAGGCATTCCTAGAATTGCTCCTGGATCCTCAGTATACTGATGAGCAGGCAAAGAAGGACATCAGGAACTTTCTAGGCAGGAAAAGTGAAGGAATTTGAGCCTAGAGAAAGGCATAGCAGTGCCAGACTCACCTGCACATCCGGGCATGACCTCTTAATTGGGGGGGACTGGCTGGGGGAGTCACCCATGCCCAGCTCTGCCCGCCCCAGGTGCTTGACCACAATGCAGCATCTTACTGGGAAACCCCTGTAGAAGACAAAAGCCTAAAGTAGTAGCCTTGTTGGCTCAAAGGGAACTTGGCAAGACCTGCCCATGTCCATTTAGGGTAGAGGGGACAAAGGGAACCTAGCACTGGGTCAAGGCTCAGTAAACTCAGACAGTAACCAAACACACTTACTTCTCCTGACACTTCTGCAGGGCCTCGTCAGCCAGCTCCTTCAGGTTCACAAGCTTTTCTCCCCTGTAGAAGGCATCTTTGGGGAGCAACAGACATTCCAGGCCTTAGTAAGCACCATGCTGCCTAGTGGGCACAATGTCCACAGAGCCCTTCCTGAGTGGGCCTCTTAACTCTGGCTCTTCCAGCTGATTCGAGCTGACAGAGGGTCAGCTGAGGTGGGACCAGGAGAGGAAAGGCAGGCAGTTTCTACCCTCTATGCTGAGTAGCCCCAAATACCAACGAGCTGATTGGAGACCAAGGCTTGAGGTATGGGGGATTCTGGAGAAGAGGTGAGAGAATTAGTCACCTGTAGTGATGAGAAGACTGCAGCTGGAATCCAGGATCCGTTCACATAGAGACTCTGAAGAGAAGCCTGCAAACTAGGGAAAGGAAGAAAGTCTAAGGGAGAGAAGGAAGTCCCAGGGATTGAGCGAATAAGGAAAGGGGTTGCTCATGAAACTTTCAGGATCTCTAAGCCAGGGTCCTAGAAGAAACTGAATAACTGATATGGACCTATGACACAAACCTTCTAAGCTCCTTAGTTTGTTATTTAAGGCCCTCCATTTTCTAGGCCCAACCTACTTCTTCAGAGCCCCACCCCCCACGCCTGCCCCTTTTCACCAGCCCAAACTCCTACCACAATGGAGTGCAAAGCCCCAATGCGGGCACATGCCAGCATGGCCACCACAAGCTCTGGGATCATAGGCATGTAGATAGCCACTCGGTCACCCTTCTGAATGCCTGCAGGTAAAAGCACAGAAAATGAACCATGAACCCTTCTTGCTGCTACTTGCTCCCTCCCATCCAGCTGGCCTCCCTCCCAGCTGACCTGTTCTCTTCCACTGTTACCAAAATCTTTCCATCCCTTGCCCTTTCCCCATAAGTCCTCAGATACCCCAAGGCCAGCCCCCCAGTCCCTTTCCCACATCCCCACACTCACCCTGTTTTCGGAGAACATTGCTGAACTGACACACTTGGACCAGAAGCTCATGGTATGTGATCTGAGTGGTCTCCCCTGGCTCATTGCCCTCCCTGAGACATACCAGAAAGAACCAGTGATTAGGGGTATAACTTCTTCCCCAAACAAGAAACAGGCATAGTCATAAAATCCATCCAGTGACGCTAAGGCCTGGAACTGTTCCATGAGGGTGAGCTATCTGCCCACCATCAATCTTGCCATCATCAATCTTGAGCTGACTGGTCAGATACTTTGGCCATTCAAGATACTTTATACACATGTTGTATGTCATTAGGAAATGCACTGTCCATCTCTGATCCTTGGTAAAATGGAGTGATGGCCCCTTCTCTTCCATCCTAGTAATGTATTAAGGAGAAGTGATATCACAGATGTGATTCCTTCTGATGAGGCATCAAGACTGCATTATTCAGAGTAGGGTCTCCAGATCACTTGTGCCAACATCATCTAGAGGATTTGTAGATTCCTGGGCCCCAGCTCAGACATACTGAATTAGAATCACAGCGTCCAAAGATCTGCTTTTTTATCACAAGATGGTACAAGGAATTAGTATGGGATTCTGATGCACACTTAAAGTTTGAGAATTGGCTGGGCACAGCGGCTCATGCCTGTAATCCCAGCACTTTGGAAGGCCGAGGTGGACAGACCAAAGGTCAGGAGTTTGAGACCAGCCTGGCCAACATGGTGAAACTGTGTCTCTAGTGAAAATACGAAAATTAGCTGGGTGTGGTGGTGTGTGCCTGTAATCCCAGCTACTGGGGAGGCTGAGGCACAAGAATCCCTTGAACCCAGGAGGCGGAGGTTGCAGCGAGCTGAGATCACACCACTGCACTCCAGCCTGGATGACAGAGTGAGATTCTGTCCTGAATAAATAAATAAATAAAGTTTGCGAATCACCATCCTGTATCAGGTGATTTCTGTCTACCTCCCCAGCCTTGCCTCCCACTCCTTCCTAGGATTTAGCCTGTTTACTTCAGTCATTCCTTCATGCATTCATTTGCTTATTCAACAACTACTATGTGCTATCTACATGTATAGAAATAAGGCACCAATGGGCAGGGCGTGGTGGCTCTTTCCTGTAATCCCAGCACACTGGGAGACCTATAATCCCAGCTACTTGGGAGGCTAAGGCAGGAGAATCGCTTGAACCCGGGAGATGGAGGTTGTGATGAGCCAAGATCGTGCCACTGCACTCCAGCCTGGACGACAGAGTAAGACTCTGTCTCAAACAAACAAACAAAAGAAGAAATAAGGCACCAATGAGCAAGATAAGTAAGATACCTGATATCATGGAGCTTATATTCTAATGATAGTGTGGGTAATAAACAAATAACAAATATAACCAGGATAATTTCAGATTATGATAAGCATTAAAAAGGAAATAAAGCAGAATGATATAAAAATGAG